GTATGTCAGTTTAACAAAACGAATCGGTCAAACGTAAATTCTAGCTATAAGTTATAATAACAATTATCATTTAAACTTTGATATCCTGAATATTTCTTCATGTTTTTAATGTTGTATTAATTAAGCGCAATGTGTTTTCAATATAAATTTATCATGTCTTTTGACATTTCGCAGTTTTTAGTTACATTTTTATGTCTTTTTTTCTATCAATCTTTTCAGAAACATACATTTTTAACAAAAAAAAAATATTAAAAATGTATAAGCGAGACCATTTAAAATAATGTAATAAATCGATAAAAATGAAAACTTACTTCGAGGAATATAGTTATAATCCTTGTTAAGCAAAAATGTTCTTTTTTTTTTTATAACTTTTAAAGTGTTAGAGCCTGTAATTTAATAGGACGACAAAGAAGAGATTTATATGAATATTTATTTTTAGAAAAAATAATAAAAAATCAATAGTATTTGAGGTGTCGATGTTTTACTTATCGTTTTTAGATAATATTAACCAGATAATTATCAATCTAATTATTGTTTTTAAATAATATAATATTAATCAGAATGATAGCTTTAATCAATACGTACTAATGATACAATTATAAATTACAGCTTATTCTGCTTTCTCTACAGCATTCGCTTTGATGAAGATCGAACAAACGCGTGTGATGGAGGGAAAAAGTTATGATGGGGTCAAGTGTCAATTCGTATGATGAAAAAAAAGAAAAGAGAAGGATAGGAGTGGACAGTCTGGGTTATACTCGCCGATTGTTCAACTTACTCGCTGTCAATCCAATATCGCTGATGGAAACGAGCATGATCGGGTTCGCATGGTCATCGACAAGACTGGACGACCTTTGATTTGAAGAACTTTAATCCGACAAGGGTCTACGCATAGACCCTCGAGCTGAACGTAATCTCGTTTACGGCGTATTACGATTCGATCAATGCCCGATTGTGCCCGTTGAAGGTAAACGTCGCTTTCAGCTGCTCCCGGCCGTATGCCTCAATTAAAAGCGAGAGACCTTCTGGAATCTCGATTATAGCCCATTATAGAATAGAGCTTATCGAGAACTCCTGGAGAATTCGCTTTGTCGATACTATTGCATCGGTGTATTGTATCACGAGAAATACAGTAATTCTTGTTAAGCAAAATGTTCTTTTTTTTATAACTTTTTAAGCTGTTAGAGCTTGTAATTTAATGGGACGACAAAGAAGAGATTTATATGAATATTTATTTTTAAAATAAGCAATCAAAAATCAATAGTGTTAGACGTATTGAAATTACAGTTTTATTACAGTTTTATAGAACTGTATTTACAATTAAGTAGATGAGATTCAATTAAAGTTAAAGTCTTTCAGAGATAGAGAAAAAAAATATTACGAATAAAATATTCAATTTTTCAATGGATTTTTTATCTCACATATTCGTATAACTAGTATTAAAAGATTAAAAATTACATGGAATTATCCAAAAATGTAGGAAAGAGATTCCAAAAATACTATTCGTTCGAAGGAATGCTAATCCGATTTTATCGAACCTCGATGTCCAATGCAAACAAGGAGAGTCCCAAATTGCAGGTTAAAAAGCGTTTACCGGTAATTCCATGACGATACGATTGGTATTTTCGATTCCCTTCGAAAGTCAACAAAAGAACGCAGTCTTTCGTCTATCGAGTGGAATGAAACGAACGGGCTGGAATAGGATCGCGCAAATTGTGATAGATATTGCTGTAGTTTGCTAGACTTGCGATTGAGAGAAACAAGTTGTTTTCTTCGCGCTTTTTCGTTGCATCGTAGTGATATATATTTACTTCTACGAAGGCACCGTTGGTCTCTGTAATATTTCAGATGACCCTTATCACGCCTACTTTTGAGACTTTTCCCAAATTCTCCCAAATTCTGATGAAAATAAACAGGCATGAATGCCGATCTTTTACGTCAGTACTTGACGAATTAATTATGTCGATGAATTCTCACGGGCCTGAATCGTGTCCTTTGCGAAGATTTTCGCAGCGCAACTAAATTTGTTTTCTATCGAAATGGTCTCATTTCAAGACATTTCAGAAGAAGATGAATTTATCTATATTGTATTGGGTCAGTTATTTATGGAAGCTTCTTAATTCTAGGTCATTTGCAACATTTATGATAACTAATTTAGCTTTCTTATTCGCCAAAAATGTGAATTATATTTTCTTCTAAAATATGATGTTGTTTTCTTTATATATGAATGTAATGAAAATAAATTTAATTTATCATCACGAATAAGAAATAGTATTTTGTAATTAAATTTACATTGATCTTAAAACTTTAATTCTTTATGAATAATTAATAATTGCAAATTTATTATAAAAAATTGATTTCAGTCTAAGTTTAAAGAAATAATTAGCGAAATAGTTAACGAATATTTGCTTTATTAAAATATGTAAAAATAAGTTATTATCGGAAAAAGATAATTTTCTGCTTATATATTGTAAATTGTTTCTTCTCTTTTATGATAGTAAAAATAAGGAGTTATAAAAATATTTTAATTTCAAAAGTAAAGGGTTATAGTATTTTAATCTCATACTAAAAAAAACTACAAAAATGTGCAATTCTAATTTTTAAGCTACCGTGAATGATTGTAAGTGAAGTTTCAACTTCAGAGTGTTTCAACTTCATTTTAAGAAATTATAAATGCAATTCCAGCTTCTTATGCTACTAGTACAGTAAAGACATTAATAAAAAATCATATTAAGGGTTAAATGACCTCAATTATGTGATCCACAGAATTATGCATTCGCGTTCAATCCGCGCGGCGCGTCACAGCTTTGATCAAAATATAGTCTCCAGAAAGAAGATTATCCCTCAGTTCGATGCACGAGCGATGACACGAACGACACCCGGTTTACGATCCATCGATAGGCTTCTTCTGTGCAAAGGAACGTCAACATGAAAACGGGCGTGAAGGGGGTACAAGAATCGACAGACAGGTACATCTACCCTCTCAGGGTTGCGTCTGACGTTGATAACGGCCTTGAAGAGCCTAAACGCTCAGCTAATCACGTAATGGCGTGTGATGCGGGCGAAACATGATGTGCCCCAACTCTGGAAAACGTATGTGCTACCATTTTCTTACGAAAATCAGAAGTGCCCTCTTCGACAAATAAAAATGCCTTCAGAAAACAAATCTGTTCTTCGGAAAGAAGCAAGATCTGAAATCGCAAGAATGTTATGTTTTTTGATGGAGACATCACTTACTGTCACATGAAAATTCCTACAATAGGAATAGTTACAATAATCTTGTGACACTTGTGCTAACATGTGCAACTTTTTTCGCACGTATTTCAGTAGATAACTGTTGGAATTTACAAGAATTATCCGAATATTAAAAAGTATGAAATTGTGAACACATAATGAGTCTTTTAAATCAAATTATCAGAAAAAAAATCGGTTAAGAATAATCATAAAATCTATAAAGCCTAAATAAAGCTCAAAACATTTAGTGTAACTTTGAAATAGTAAAAAATATATACTAAATTGATTAAATAATTGTTTAAATAGCTTTTGCAAAAATTATATGTTGTATTGATATGAATAATGAAATTTTTGATTATCACTTCCTTTTTAATTACTACTTGATATTTCTTCTTCATAAAACAAAGCAAATTTGCTTGACTTAGGAGATGTATGAAATGTTTTCGTAAAATTATGCTTTACATATCGCAAATATCTAATTCTCACTGTATAATTTCATTTATGTATCTTATTTATAATCTTATTTATAATTGGATAGTGATCAGAAATTCTTGTAGTTATGAGCAACACATATATATTGCAATAAAAGTAAGTAAATAAACAAATATTTGTTAAAAAGCAAGATATTTGATTTTTTTCTTTAAATTTGTTTCTCCTTATTTCCTTTTTAATATTAAATGTAATTTTAATATCAAATATAATTTTTATTATTAATTTCGGGACATAATGATATAGAAGTAATATAAGTCAATATTTTATACATTGTCTTACATAATCTATTTAATTTCCATCAAACATCAATTAACCAGTTAGTGTCGATTTATTTCATTTCAGTAAATTGAAATATCATTTATCAAGATAGTTATCTTAATTAACTCAAAGATTTTTTGTTAATCCTTTGAGGGGAAACAACATGTTATTGCTATCATGTTTCATATTTATGGAAAATTTTTTTAAGTAATGTAATGTACAACTATATGAAATCGATATACATGTACTAAAAATAATAAACTTATTTCAATAATTATAAAGAAATTTAGAATATTTTTACTGCTAAGAAATATATAAGCCAGAATAAAAAATTCGTATCTGGTATAAACCAATTTTCAAAATTATGTTAGCGTAAAATTCGATTACGAATTTTTTAGTAAAATATTTATTTCAGATTTTTCAAAAATACATAAATTTGTAATTTTATTATATATAGATCACAGTAAATTATATATTTGTAAATCTAAAATAAAAGAGATAGAATATCATATATTTCTAATAGCAATATTATTTTCATTTGTTTTATTAGGTATTTGAAAAAGGTATTTGAAATTGCCAAGATTTTTAATAATAAAGTCCAATAAAAATAAAGAACTCCTTACATCTAATTGAATTTGATGTCAATGGCACGATTTAATTTAGAAAATTGTGTGTATTAGAAAATAAAAAAAGAAAATGAAAAAAAGTGAGAGTAAAATGAAAATATTTCTTTACAAAACTAATGTAGCGAAGAAAAATCAGAGTTTGGGACACGTATATACATACATATTAGGTGTGGGAAAAAATTCGTAGCGTAGTTTTTCCCGTTATATCTAACGGGAAAAACGCCACGAACTTTTTCCCATACCTAATATTACATACATATTATACTTTCTCATTTATCGCGCGCGATACTATCGTTGACAGTCTAACATCGCACGTTCGCTTGATGGTTTTCTACAGAGAGCCATTCGGATGAATCGTAAAACCTTGCAACGTTTACAACGGTTACGTACCTTATGAACATGTATATACCCGTGGGCTCTAATGCCCTGGAGACCGCTTTCCAGCTGGCAATAACTGTAAATTTTTGCCGAGCTGTGAGCGGAAGTCGAGGATCCGTGGCGGCCGGCGGCGGCGGCGGCGGCGATGAGCCATCGTTTCCGGCTTGATTGCGCGATTTCGTGGTGGCTAGTTTGCTAAGTTCGCAGCCCATGTTGCGGCGGCGAGTCTCGGACGCGACCCCCCGAGTCGCGGAAGACACTAACCGAGGCGACCCACAACGGGGGATGATCACCACCTCGCGTCACGAAACCCGTAGACCGCGCGGCAGCACTCCGCGTTCGATTTCGGTATTGCTTCCGCTTTCTGCCACTTCCGTCGAAGTTCCCGCCGCATCGACGAAAACGAGAGATTGCACTATACTGTGAGAACAAAAGTATATATGTATATACTGACGATATATCGTTGGAGATCGATGATGATATGATGATGAAGACTAAACTCTGGTTTTTCTCAAATCGTAAATCGGCAGTAAAAGTACGCTCAAATAATGCGTAAATTATCCTAACAGCTTCCTCATCTGCGAAATCTTTACGTTGTCTTGTATTCCTGAACACAGTGCACGTGGTCGAAATTCAAGAAATCTGCGTGTTTTTGATAAAGTCTGTCGCGTCAAGTTTGTTAAATCGCTAAGAACGGATGATCGAAGCGGCTTACTCGCGCGAACACTTCGTGGCTGATACGATTGACGAAGTGCGATTCGCGTCCCTGTATTTCTTCGATGTACTACACGATCTCGACGGGAGCACATGCGTTTTAAAGCAAATCGGCCATTTTGAAACTGATCATCTGCGAATGTTTGTTCGCCATCATTTACAGTACAAAGATAAGTAAGGTAAACTTTATGGAAGTATGTCCTGTTCTCGCAAATCTTGTCACGTATCCGATGTATTCCTAGCGTGGGCATATATTTATCGTTTCTTATGGTTGAGAACATGTGATGATTCCACGTTAATCTATCTCCTCCTCTTATTTACCGTGTCGCGGTTTGAATACGCTTCTCCTCGCGATTATCCTTCATTTAAGGTTTGCGTATCCTTGCTGCTCCTTTTGGCCTTGCCAAGTTTTCTGCTCGGTGAGTTCATTTATCTAGCTTCTTCTCGCCCACTTTCCTCTCAACATCAATCTCAACTCTGCCAAATATCTTCCTTTTTTCTTTTCACCAAGATTCCTACACTTTATTGCTTCCAATTCTAAATCGATTTTTCTACCTTTAACGCTCTATATACCAGTATATGTTTTCTTTATTTTCTTCGGGAATACCTGTGTAATTGTCTTCCTCCGACAATTCTGTCCAATTTTCTACATCTTTCCTTTTCCTTTATACTCTACGTTTTAGTCTACAAGATAGTCTTCGTTATCTCGTTTTGTTAGTATTTATCCATTTGTAACTAAATTTTCTTCACTTTTTGTCTTGTTTATCAGATTTTCATTTCACATTTTAATTAGCCGTATTTTGTCTCTCTATTTTCTATCCTCCTTTACTCCTCACTTTCTCTTATGATCCCCTTTTCTCTTAAGATCTGTATATATTTATTAAGCGTACAAGTGTCTTGTCATTGTTTCATGATAATAACTCCAGCTCCTCCTCTTTAAAATCTCGTTAGGCTCGTTAATTTCTCGTAAATTTTAATGTGATATATCTTCACGTATCCACCATTTTTACGTCGCTTGTCTCTTTAATTATTCAAGACTTACATCAATTCACTTCACTTCCTCACAAAGTTTTCGAGTGTGCGAACAGTCACGGCTCCTTGAACACCTTCAGATTCCTCGATCTCCGGAACATTAACTGCAAGCATACGACCGCGATTTCATTTATCGAACAGGACGATTGATCGATCTCATTTATGACGAACACTGGCGCGACAGAAAGTGACAGATCGAGAGGAAATCGAAGACGCGCGAGATAATTTAAAACTTCATTTGCCACTTTATATATTAAATGTCGGTGGAACGACATTTAATATATAAAGTGGCAAATGAAGCTCTCGGGTCGCTGCTTCGTTGATATAAACGTGCTATAAAAATAATTTTGTATTGTAAATCACGAGATATCTATTTGCGTTTTGCAAGTTTTGTGGATTTAGTTTTTGTGGACTTCGATGCTGTATATCTACAATCTGTATATCTTCAATTTCTATATATTTTAAATTCGAAACTACTTGTTATTGGATGACAGCACAAAAAATACATCGCAACAGATTTTTTTAAATGGCAATAAACGCGAGAAATAAAATATATCAAATTTATATTTTATTTTTTATTTGTATTTTGCTTATTATCTATGTATTCTTTAAAAGTACTTAATAGAGCTGCGGTATTTTTTTCTTTTTTTTCCTCCCTCAAAAATATAGGTGTGCATGAAAATAATTGTTAAATTTTATAATTTTATTTGTGCTGCTATTAATTAAATAAGATTGATTTAAAAAATTAAATTTCAAATAAAAGCAAAGCAATGTCTATAATCAAGGAAGAAAAAAGGTTGTACTTTTAATGAATACTTTTAATTTAATCACACAAAATCTATTTGCAAAAATAATAAATGTCATTTCATCTTTAATTAGTATTTTTTGTTCTTAAAAGTATATCTTCGATATGTTGATATGATGTTCGATATGAGTTCAATTGTTGCAAAGGTTTCCGAAGTTTCATCAATGCCACGAATGGCGTGGCACTTTAATTAGCGTAATGGCGGTATCAAACTGGATCAACTACGGAGCAAAGGAACAAAAGAGAAAATCTTAGCCGACAAATCTTACGGAGTTGAAGCGTTTTAGACTTGGAACGCTTTCAAATGGAAGAAACGAAAGAATAGAGAACGAACGATGAGGTGGAATTCCGGCAACATTGATAGAGGAATTTTGAGGGATCTAGAGGCAACTACAAATTCATCTATGTCATTGCTCTCCGCAATTCAGGAAGAGTCATCAAAGAAATGTAGAAAGCAAACGATATCGGGGATGTACAAGACGAGAGAGAGCAACGATAAGTAGATAGAAGCATAATAAGGCAGTCAAGTATAACCGGAAAGGAGCAAGACTTTCTTGTGCGCTGTCCTGTTGGGGCGTAACTTTACGTTCGAGTTGTCCGTCCTCGTGAAACATCGAGCGTATCTCAGTGTTGATAAATATCACCAATAAAGTTAAACGAAGGAACGTAAGAAGCACGCACGGATAACTTAAATGGCTTTCGAAGTTCTCGATGCAAAAAGTAAGTAGCATCTCGCCAAAGCGAAAGTCCATCACAGGGAGCAGTATGATGCTAGTAAATGTCGACCTTTATTGCTCGACTTTTACAACCGCATGCTAGCTAAAAGTAGATAGACATATATCTACTATGTAGCACGTTCGCGAGTAATTGTATTGATTCGAATTTTATAGGAAAAATTTTTGATTATTTATACGATTGTTAAAATGTTACCGTAAATGCATAATTTTGTTTCTTGGAATGATGAAACCAATAAATTCTTCTTATTTGTTTATTTTTTGTGTCTGTTTTTTATTTTTTTATTCCTGTTTACTTGATTATTGTATGTATTTGCAATTTTTAAAAAATATTTCTTTTAAAACTAATTAATATGTAAATATATTTATATAATAATATATTTATATAATTATA